TGTTTATCTCTCTTTTTCTCAGTTTTTTATTCTCCATCATTTGGTCTTCTATATCACTAATTCTCTCTTTTGCCTCATATATCCTAGCAGTTAGAGCCTCCATTTTTTTGACTTGGTTAGATTTTAGTTCTTTTATTTCTCCAGAAAGAGTTTCTCTTGTATCTTCCATGCTTTTTTCAAGCCCAGCTAGTATCTTTATAATCATCATTCTGAACTCTAGTTCTGACATCTGACTGATGTCCATATTGATTAGGTCCCTGGCAGTCAGTACTGCCTCTTGTTCTTTTTTTTGAGGTGATTTTTTTCCATCTTGTCATTTTGTCCAGAGGAGGATAGATGAATGAGAGAACAAAATGCTAACAGGGTAACAACAACCCCAGAAAAATATACACTAAACAAATCAGAAGAGACCCAAAACTTGGGGAAAAGAAAGGGAAAGAAAGAAAAAAGAAAAAAAAAAAAAGAATATGATCAAATATAATCAGGCTGGTGAATAGATCAGTGCCGGACAGTAGATTTTGAACATATTTTGGTCTGTTAGAAGAAACTGTTCCCCAAAATTTTAAAGAAAGAAAAACTTATATATGTACAAAAATAAGGGTAAATAGGATGAAGGGATAGAATATGACTGTAAAGATGAAAGTTATAAAAGATTTTATAAAAGGAATTGATAAGAAGTTGGTTGAAAAAAGAAAGAAGAAAAATTTAAAAAAAAAAACAACAACAAAAAAGAGAGAGAATGTGATCAGGCTGGAGACTAGAACAAAGCCATACACTAGAGATTTAGGGTATATTTTGGTCTGTTACTAGAAACTGTATCCCCAAATTTTAAAGACAGAACAACTTATATATATACAAAAAATAAGGTTAACTACAATGAAGGGATAGAATATGACTCTAAAAATGAAAAATAAAAAAGATTTTTAAAAAAGGGATTGATATGATGTTGGTTGAAAAAGGGAAAAAGAAAAATTAAAAAAAAATAGAAAAAGAAAAAAAATGAACTTTGAAAGACTAAAGAATCAGGGGGAAAAATCCATGAATTCTATATGCTGTATTCCCCTAGTGCTAGAGTTCTGTTCTCATTGATTGGTAGACTTGGTCTTGTCTGGCTGTTTTTGCTGATCTTCTGGGGGAGGGGCCTGTTGCAGTGATTCTCAAATGTCTTTGCCAGAGGTGGAATTGCCCCGCCCTTGCCAGGGGCCGGGCTAAGTTATCTGCTCGGGTTTGCTCTCAGGAGCTTTTGTTCCCTGCAAGCTTTCCATACAGCTTTGGAGGACGAGAGTAAAATGGTGGCCCCCCAATCTCCACTCCGGAGGAGCTGAGAACTCAGGGCCCCACTCCTCAGTGAGCCCCCAGAGAAAAGCAATCAATCACTCCCGTCTCCCTGGTCTCCGGCCACTCTCCATACTCACCTGGCCTGTGACCGAGTGTTTCTGTCTCTGGCACCTGACCCCGTTTGGAGTCTCCAAATCCAGCAGATCCCTGCGGTGCGCTCCCGCAATGCTTCTCCTGGGGGAGGAAGGGGAGTCTCCCCAGATCTGCCCCTCGTTGGGTCCCGGCTGGAAGAGCAGTGGCCCAACTCTGCCTCAGATCACGGTTTATGGCAACCCCGAGCCCACTCCTCGGCTCTGTCTCTGCAGCCAGCTTCCTTGCTCCGATACCTGGGAGCTCTGCTGCGCTCAGGCACCCCCGGTCTTTCTATGACCCAAAGGTCCTGAAACTACACTGTTCCAGTGAGGGTTCCACCCCTGCTTAGCCACTGGAGCGACGTCCCTCAACGGAGCTGACTTCTAAAAGTTCCGATTTTGTGCTCCGCTGCTCTATCACTCGCCGGTAGTGGCTGACGGAGGCTCCCTCCCCCCCGTGGTCTATCTTCCCGAATATCGCCTTGGATTCACTTCTCCGCACGTCCTACCTTCCAGAAAGTGTTTTCTTTTCTGTTCAGAGAGTTGCTGCTATTCTTTTCTTCGATCTCCTGTTGAGTTTGTAGGTGTTCAGAATGGTTTGATAACTATCTAGCTGAACTCCTGAGTTAGACGAAATTTAGGTCTCCTACTCCTCCACCATCTTGCTCCTCTCTACTGTCCTATTCCTTAATAATCTCTTTACTAACCTCTCCTTAAATGATCCTAATATGAGTGTGCTGTCTATTTATTCCTGGGACCTTAACTGATATATTATTCATTACCACTTAGTTGAAAGTATATTTGCCTAGTTCTGTCCTATCTGAGGGAGTTGGACACTTTCAAGTGGAAAAGTAAGAATGGGTTTTTGGTACTTGTCATTTGATACTAACAGAAGAAAAAGGTAGCAATGAAGGCTGATGATGATGGTGGTGGTGATAAAGTGAGCCAAGGATTCTTCTAGACATCCTTTTATACACATTAGGTCATTTAACTCAAAAACATGATTTATTATTACCGCCTTTTTGCAGATCTCAAAAAAGGTCAAAAGTTTAGTAACTTGCTGAAAGCTACACAGAATGCTCTTGGAGATCTGAAATCCTAACCTCTTTGGCTTCAAGATCCATACTGTTTTAGCCAGACCATGCTTCCTCCCAAGTATATAGGCTGAGAAGGGCCAGCCCATCAACAGCCAATTTTCAGTTATACCCATTTGCCTTCTCAAAAATCCACAGGTTCCAAATTCCTATGGGAAGTCTTTAAATGATGTCAAGGCAAATTTCTTAAAAACTTGATGAATTCAGCAAACCTTACCAGGTCAGTTCCGTGATTCATCTGATTTGACTGATTTGTTAATTTAAAACTATTGAGTTACTAGCCTACTATGGGCAACTAACTATTCCCTGGTTGCCCCTAAGAGTACTCATTAATTACTGAGTGAGTAATTAAATATTTTGAATGTATTTTTCTCAGAGAGTGTACAAGCTTCCCATAGCATTTAGTTGGATTTTATTTTCTCCCTAGATATGGAATATTTAGTTCTCAGTTTATATTAGTTCTGTCCACTTCTTACATTGATTCAAGGTGGGTAATATAATTTCACATTTTCTGAGAACTTATAAAATGAATGGTATAAAAACCCACTGGGAAAGGTGACTAAAGTCCTGGAGGTATACTAGCTGAGAACTTTGCATTTGTGGATTCCCTCTTCCCTCCAACCCCCACTCCCTGAAAAATAATCCACACACTCTCAAAGAAACCATATTTATCCTAGAAATTCACAATTGATTGTGCATTTTTTTTAACCTTGGGCAAGCATTTTTATGAATGCTGGAAGAAGACTTGGTGTCTCAGTGCCCTTTGTGTTTCCCAAGTTGTGACTTGGGATATTCTTAGCAGTGATAAACTAGATTTCTCCAGTTCTAGCTCCACCTTGCTGTGGGATCTCTGGCCTCTCTAAAAGTATCTGCCTTCTAGCGTCATAAGCCTTAAGGGATGATTCACATATGTTCAAAACAAGTCTTTGAACCTTGAGAGTACGCCACTCTACGATTCTGGAGAGCTTGGTGAAGAAGGTACCTGTGCACTGGTGTGGGGGACCAGTGGCTTCCCCTGCTGCTGAGGGCTGGCCTGCTCCAGGGACCCAGATGGATGCTGTGTTCCCTGGAGCCCTCCCTCCATGTGTTTTGTGTGTTCTTAAAGTATATGTAGTTACTTTGTTTGAAAGTATATATTTTTGAATGTATAATTCACACTATCCTGCACTTTGATATTTTTCCATCATTTCAGTAAAACAAACTCCTTCAGACCTTGCTCACTGTTATTCTTTTCCCTAAACCTCAGGCACAAGTCTTTTGAGAAACTTAGAGTAAATTCAAATGATAGACTACTTGCTCTTGTTAGAATTGGTCTGTTCCCACCATTTCAGCCTACATCTACAACGTCAGCGTTTTTGTGTTTTGATCAAGCCTGTTTGCCTTATCCCTGTTCTCTTAGAATGATTTTTTTCCCAAAAGGCATTTCAGCCCACATGCAAATATTCCATGTGAATATTTAAATCATGTTCAGATTCAGCTGAATATCAGAATGAACACAAATTGTATAGTTATTGTATTTGCTCTTTCTTCAAAACAAAAAACAGAATCTCCTTCTTAATGTCTAGTGGGAAGTAAAGGTAAGGTAATAAGGCTATCATGTCATTCAAGTGACAGCTCCTCTGGGGTATTCTTAGAAATCATAGTTGTTGCTCAACTTGGTAAACTGTTTCTCCCAACCATTTCTTATAACATCATTGAACCCAAAGAGTAGAGAACTCATTAAATTCACTGAAGAACCACTGTACTGTGGATTATTGCTAATGATGAAACAGGAGGCCACCATGCTATGGTCAGAGTGCTTTCAGATGTAGTCAGATCCCTCTGGTGGTGGACAAGGCTACCTTATTCAGTGAATGCTTAGTGGAAAACTGAGGGGTCTCCAGCTGTACCAGCCAGAATCCGCATGTACACAGCTCAGCATGCATCTTCATTTCATACATGTAAGTTGTGACTACCATACCTATTTTTTTTAAGCCACTAGAAAAGTAGACTTGAATATTTAATGGAAAACAGATGGTGCTTGAAATCTCTAACTTACATTTAACAAAAGCTGTTTTGGAAATGCTGCTTGTGTGTACTTTTATTGCTTTAAACATAGCACCATTTCAGCTTGTTCTGCTGAATAATTTAAGAATTATTATCCTAGTCTAAGACAGAATTTTGAAGTGCACTTGTTAATCATATACTTGATTAAACATTTCCTTGCCTTTCTCTTCAGAATGCCAGTTGGCTTTTGAGTGGATAATTGTTGCAGTGAGAGAAGTGACATTGGAAACAACTATTGTCCATTTGAATTACTTAAAACACCACCATGAAAAGAAATACCTGTGATTTGCTTTCTCGGAGCAAAAGTGTAAGTACCTTTTGTTTTCATTTCTTTTCTAAAAACGTGTACACATAATTTAACGTGTACACATAATTTTTACTGTTTTCTTTAGATTTTAATACTGTGCTATCATGATTAGGCTTGTGGGAGACCCTAGGTCAACTTTAGATTGTCAGGCTGTACACAGCTTGTTAACAAATGGAGACTTGTTTCTCTCTGTGGCCTGGTTGACATTTGATGGGAATTCTCTTTCAGTTAGTTTCTTTGCCTTACCATTCATTTGTATAAGCCTAACGGCGTGAGATTGGATGCTCTGATATTTGGATTGATGCAGAAATTATATGATTAAAAACTGAAACTGAAGAAATTTATGTCTTGAATATCGAATTTTCTGGGCAAGTCCAAAAGGATAAGTTGAATTTACGCCGCTAAGTACTTCAATCTATGACGTTCCAAAAGTTCATGTACATGGTAAATAACATGAAGACTTGATTAGGAGGACATCACTTCCATGAGCTGTCTACCCTAGCATATGTCTCTAATTTCTCTCCTCCTTTAGCGTTTTTTTTTTTTTTTTTAAGTGACTGTCCTCAGGGCCCTGGTGTAGATTAAGCCTTCTTTCCAATTACCTACTCTCCTTAAGGCACTGAATTAGTGATAATTTTTAGATTCATATTAGCTTATGAAAGGAAGTATAAGCAAATAGAGCAACCCCAAGAAAACTACATAAGGCAAGGATGAAAGGAGGGTGTTAATTTCTGTGAGGCAAGCTCTAAGAACATGTCCCTTTGTTCATTTACCCAAGGGGAAAAAAAGGCATCTAAACAGATGCAGTTGTGACGTAGGATCATTCATTTGAAGGCATCAGAAAAACCACAAATGCAAACACATTTCTCTAGTATGAGAACGCTTTGTGTTACAACCCGTGATTCTTTTGTGATGGCCTCAGGCCATCTCTGATTCTTTCTGCAGAATTGCTTTCAGGCTTTTCAGGGTGAGCAATGCCTGTGGAGAGGGAAGGATAGTGTGCTCAGTAGGGTTTCTTAAAAAATGAGGATGTACCCAGAGGTGTGCCAGTTCTTGGAGTACCGACTGTGTTTAATAAGCAACTGAAGAAATTCAACAAACTCTGAGGAAGTGTCCAAATTCATTTGTTTTCCTGGTTGGTGTTTGGTTGTATGGATTACTGGATAAAATGCCTTGGTGCCTGGAGTTCTTTTGGTCATCATATAGTTGCTCATTGTAAAAGGAGGTGACTTACATACAAATGACCAGACTGCCAACACATCTTTCTTGTTACTGAGTTTTTTTTATTATAAGTTAAATATGAAAGTAAACCATCCACATAATGCTTCTTTCTTTCATTTAATTTCAGTGCCTGTGATAGGGGAAAAATGTGTAAAGGCAAAGGGGAGAATATTTTGGATAATTAAAACAATATTATTAAACATTGCCCTGTTCTTGGAGGAAAACATTCTAAAAGCAAATAATTAACTGAGCCGTGACTTTAAGGAACTGTGAGCACTTAATGATGCTAGGAGATTTCCTATTTATATTTGCTTAGTGCAGAAATTTTCATCTTGGTGGAAAGGCTCAAGATTCCCAGATTAAGAGAACCTGAATTGCCTACGTGTGTCTAAATGTAAACAGTAGAGCTCTCATTTCACTGCTTCTTAGCTTCTTGAAAATCCACTGGCATAAAAAAGTGCTTTCACTTAATTAAATGACTCTAGGCAGGAGATTGCTGTTTGTCAGAGGAAAGAGCCAGACTTTTTGCCTAGTTAGAAGTTGTCACCTTAGAGTTTCGAAAGTTCATCTTTCGCTGGTCTGAAAAAGTCATCCTGCACCCCTTAAGTCTTTGTTATAACAAAATCCAACATTATACACTTAGAAGTAAGTGTTTCCTGGTTTTGATGAGGAAATTTTTAAGAATTAATTTGGTTTAGGATTTGAGAATGTTTGTCTTTGGCATTATGACATTTAAAAACCCAAAGAGAATATTCTAAAAGTTAAAACAGCCTGTGTTCCTCCCTGCATGTCTCCATGTATCTTATATGTGTCATTGTGAAACTTCAGGCGTACAAAAGAGCAGGAAAAAAAAAAAGATCATCTTTAGACAGTTATTTATTCTTGAACACTTAAAGAGTGGTCATATTTTTCTTCTCACATTCAAGATCTGGTACAGTGTTCTTTTTAATGATTAATGCTCTGGATTCTTCCTTTATTTGGAAGGAATCCATGAAAAATTTTAGCTATAAAAATATAAACAAAGTACCTTTTGCTTAAAGTGCCATTTTGCTCCTTTGGGAGCATAATTTGTGCTTATGGTGGGTAAAAATAGGAAGAACTCATGTGAACAGTACAAAAGTGAAGCGTGGGCCCAGGGGCTGTGGTCTTTAGGGTCTCCTATGGGAGATGACACGCATCAAAGAATCACACACATAGGTGGGAAACAGTAATTCTCCACTACATTTCCTTCCATAGGGCAAATACCTTCCACCCGTCCTCCTAGGTAATGGCTTCTTTCTCCACCCTAGAATGTGAACTTCCTGAGACAGATGCTTTGCTTATTTATTCGTCACCGTATCTTTCACATGGTAGGTAATTACGTGGTAAAGAAACGAGCGAATGAGTACCCTACGATACCTGCTGAGAGAAACGTCCTAGCACAGTGATAACATATAACAGAATGACTTGGCTCAGTCAGGGAGGTCAGTCCAGAGTTCCTTAGAAAAGAGGATCGTTGGGGTAGTCTATGATCTGAACGGTGACTTAGCCTACTGAGGCAAAGGGGGTTTCCAGGGAGAGTTAACTTCATGCGCGATGATTCTTTAGTTTAGGGAAAGTGGTGGCTTCAAGGTCATGAATAAAAGCTAGAATAACGAATCCACTGGTGGTAACTGTAGGGAGGTAGACTGAACATAGTTAAGAGAGATTTGGGAAGGAAAAAGAAATAGGGCTTTTGGAAAGGTATTAGATGTAGGATTGAGGAGAGAAGAAAAGTATGGAAGGTGCCTCCTGGGCTTGTAGTTAACAAAATGGACATGGTCTTTCCACTGAGGTGAAAGGGACGGGGTGCGGGGAGGGTGAGTCTGAGTCTACAGCTATGGAGATTGGGATGTTTCAAGATATAGGAGGGTGGAATGCAATCTTACTTAATTCACACAATAGGTAGGTTGGGAAACTCAAGTTAATTATTAAATGTATACCCCCGACTGTTGATTCAATATAGAAAATAGAGGGACACTTTTATTGAAATTAAAAAAAAAAAAATCCTGCAAGTTTAACCCCAAGCTGTCTTCACCAGGATCTACAAGTTGCATTTATCTACGTAAAATTCTTATATAGCACCCCTAGTATATCTCTGGAACCTGAAGATGTTGAACAGAAGGAAATATAGTGACAGTTATTTCTCCTTTGTTTTTAATTTATTGGAAAGAAAGACTGTCCATTCCTGTAAAATATTATGTGTAGAAAAGTGTTAAGAAATAGCAGCCTTAAATATATTCTCTTATTTCCTCATGTGTAAACAAAACAGGACTTATGTTATTTCACTTAATTAAATGACTCTTAATTAAATGATTTAAGAGAAACTTTCAAACATCAGCTCATAAAAACAGGTGTTATTTTTTTCACGATTTCTGTTGCTATAATGTGGTTAGTTTTGATCTACAGTTTTATATTGTTCCTGAACAGAGTAAAATATATAATTTTAAAATCTATTAATAATTATTTTCTTAAAAATTAATTCAAAGTAAATTAAATAGCATAAGCTACATTAATTTAAAGTAAATTAAAGCACTTAATGCTGCTTATTAAATTGAAAATGTGGCTAAATGAATTGAATGTCTAAATGAGTTAATATTGTCACACATTATTAGGATGAACTTACATGTAAACTTTTATAATAAATGGACCAAAATTTAAAAATCTCACAGTTTTTTTATCATATGTTATTAAAATATGAAATATTTTAAATTTTGCTGTTGTGGTTCACAAATTTATGACGATGAAAGAGGTCCACAAATTTAAAAAGTGGGAAACTATTCTACAATACATTGTACATCAGTTGAAAATATCAAAAGCAAATATTTTAAGCTTTACATTCCTGACTTATATAATTGTTCCAACTATCCACATCATTTATTTTTAGAATACATGGTATTAATATTTATCTCTCATAAAAATGGTTTCACCATATTTTACAGGGCTTATAAACTTTATATAGAGTTTCTGGTATATAATTTCTTCTTATAGTTGGAAGAGAGCCTAAAGATCTTCCAACTCAACGCTTTTATTTTGCTGATAGGGAAATTGAGATGGAGGTCAGGGGAGATGAAATGACTTGCCTGAAAGGTGGCTTGGTTTAGTTAAAAAAAATAGGCGAGCTTTAAAATCATACAGAATTGGGTTCAAAATCTGGCTCTTTCAACTTTTCAGCTGTGGGACATTTGACAAGTTACTGACTCCACTAATGTAATGGGTGATGGGGAAATGACATTAACACATAGTGATGCTTGGTACATCAAACATACCTAATGAGTTCTATCTCTGGCTTGCCCTAGATGCCATAACTTGTAAGTGAGAGAGCCTCCCTGTGTTCTTTCTTCTCTGTGGTTCTTAAAATGTAGTCAAAGCTCGGATTAAAAACAAAAATAACTATCTCTTACCTGCTTTTACCTATGTCAAGTGCCTGTAAATGCCAGTGTTGGAAAAACCACATTGTCCAGATGAAGTTCTGTAAAAATTAGGGCATTCAAGGAAAAACAAATGAAAAATATCATAAAATACAAAGCAGATGGTCACTTAGGTAGCACCTGCTTCTTTACAAACTGTATTTTCTGATTTAATAATAATTACAAATCGAAAGAGAAGAAAAGGAAAACTCTTGGTCTGGCAGATGACCCTTTCCATGAAGTGTTTATTTCCAACAAGAAGTGTTGCAGTAGAAAATTCTCCCAAAGTTTTATGATATGCATTCTGTACCTCTTTTTAAAGTTTTCAGGCCTATTCTCAGTGGACTAACA